GTGTCCAGGAGTTGGGCTAATGTTGAAGATTAACAGGCCTAAAATAATTTCAAATGTAGTCATAATTTAAATAGAGGTTGACTTGCAATATACCACTGAGCTATTTATATAAAGGACTTCAAGCCACAATCTTTCTTGTTTTTTTATTAGAGAGAGAAAGAGAGAGATGCCTTTTCACTTACTTATGCATCTATTAGTTAATCGAACCTGCAACCTTGCTATATTGGAATGACACTCTAACCAACTGAGCACTGGTCAGGGCCAAACCAAAAATCTTTAAGATATGAGTGAGAGATGAAACTTACTTATCTAAGAACACACTGTTTTTTGTTTTGTGTGTGTGTGTGTTTAATATTTTTATTGAATTTAGAGAGAGAGGAAGTGAGAAGGAGAGAGAGATAGAAACTTCAACAATGAGAGAATCATGGATCAGCTGCCCCCTGCACACCCCATACTGGAGATTAAGCCCACAGCCTGGGCATGTGCCCTGACCAGGAATCAAATCTGTGACCTTTTGGTTCATTAAACCACACCAGCCGGGCAGAACACACTTTAAAGTACTTTTAGGAATGCCAGTTACATTCAACAGTATAGTTAAGCAGAGAGTAACCTCATGTAGGCTGATGTACAAACACTCTAGTCTCTTACAAAAGGACCCATCAGTTGACATTTCAGCCTTCCCGGGATGCTCCAGAATGGGTGGGAGCAAAGTCCATGGTTTGTACCTGTACCTTTGGGGCCAGAACAATCCTGAGTGTTGAGAACTGCACAGTGGAGACTAGAAATGGCAAATTAATTACCTTGTCGATTCCTCTTGGGCCATGCTTTTGCCACAGATTGATCTGTAAGCTGATTAATTTGAGGCTGGGGGTAGGGGAGGTAGAATGAAGAATAAATAATTTATTAATTCAAAAGAATAAATAAGTTTGCAAAGAAAGAGGCTAACCTAGGTAGAACCTACATCTTGATGTATGTGTAAACCATCAATTCCATAGACTTGATATCCTGAATTTTTCTGCAAGAAGCCTTACTTCTCTCCTCTGAGGGTAATAAAACTGTTGCTACAGGAAAACAAACTTCCCCTTTCTCCATTGAAATGTCTTCAAACTTTTTGCTGATTCCAGACTGCCCCCTCCATGTGCCTGGTCAGGATAGGGTGTTTTTGGTGGTTCCCACCCGAGAATCCAATTGTGCCCTTTTTGAGTGTATAGATAGTTTGCTGATGCCTGGCTGGTATGGCTCAGTGGTTGAGCGTCAACCTATGAACTAGGAGGTTGCAGTTCGATTCCCCATCAGGGCACATGCCTGGGTTGTGGGCTCAGTTCCCAGTTGGGGGTGTGTAGGAGGCAGCCAATCAGTGATTCTCATTATTGATGTTTCTCTCTCTCTCTCTCTCCCTCTAAAAAAAAAAAGAAAAAAAAGAAAAAAAAAAGTTTGCTGAAAAAGAACACAGTGATAATAAATAGTGTAGCTTGATTGGGTACTTAACTGTGTGATCCAAGTGCTTTATTTCCATTATCTAATTTAATTCTATCAGCAGTGGCACCAGGTAGGCATTGTTAGCTCCCCTTTTAAAATAGCCTCGGGCCCTAACCAGTTTGGCTCAGTGAATAGAATGTTGGCCTATGGACTGAAGGGTCCCAGGTTCGATTCTGGTCAAGGGCATGTGCCTTGGTTGCAGGCACATCCCCAGTTGGGGGTGTGCAGGAGGCAGCTGAGCGCTGTTTCTCTCTCATTGATGTTTCTGATTCTCTATCCCTCTCCCTTCCTCTCTGTAAAAATCAATAAACTATATTTTTTAAAAATAAAATAGCCTCGGACAGTCTGAGGCTGGCTTTGACTAAGAACCTTTTCGAGGCTGGTGAGGGTTGGAAGTTTCAGTGGTTAAGGGGGATCCCCGCTGGTGTGTTAAGGAAGGTGAGCTGCAGTCTGACTTTATGACCATTGCTTCCTGTCTTCATGTAAATCTTTTCTTCAAGATGACATCTTGCAAACTCCCCAACATCTTACAAACACCCTCTTGATTGAGAATCATGGGTTAATTCACTTGGGGCTCTTTCAGCACAGGGAAGTGACCTTGTCCACTGCCCCTGCCCTGCAGCATACCTGGGCCAGGTGAGCCCATTTCTGTGTGCTCCAGGCCTCAGAGGCAACAATTCCTCACTTGGTTCCAGTTTTCTAGGACTTGGAAGTAGCTCCCAGCCTGAGGATTTCGTGATTTGCAGTCTATTCCTTGGACCCAAGGAAAATGCTGAGGGCCCGGGGGAGAAAGGGGCTATGTTTGGGCCTATGGGCCTGGCTGGGGGCTGGGAGGCAGTGTCCATGTGCCCTTGGAGAGACAATGGGCATAGTCAGAGGGCATGTAGCCCTTGGGACCCGCTGAGCCCAGAGGTCAGATTATATCCCTTGAAACAAAGCTTTGGGCTTAAGCTCTTACCCATTTAGTTCTGAGCCCACTAGCCTTGGGTGGGACATGTCCGGGAGGAGGAGGCTTCCACCCAGCGGTTTTCTGCAGCTGGACCACAGCGCTCAGTGTAGCAGGCAGCACTGGGCCAAAGGCACAGACTTGGGTAGTACTGTCCTCAAGGAGAGGGAGGCAGCCTTGACCATGGGAGCCAAGGGGCCCGGACTGAGTCAGTGTGGCTGCCCAGCCCCAGAGACAGGTTTCCCTTGAGGTGATTATTGGCCAAGGAGGAGAACGCCGCCAGCCAGGCCCTATTAAAATTGTTAGTGGCGAGGAATCGTCTCTAGGAACTATCCCCTGCAGGGCTGACAGAGTCCGAAGCGGTAAAATCCAAGTTTCCACCACGTTTCCCACCCAAGCTTCGCGAGCTCTGGCGCAGGAGGAGGCCGGCCTGCCAGGTGTTCCTGACGCAGCTGAGAGCAATCATTGCCACAGCCACGCTGCCTCGGCCATCACCCACGCCAGGCACTGGGCTCACACTGTTTGCTCTGCTCTCCAGAGCCTTCCAGGTTTGGCGTTGTCACCCCCATTTTATAGATCGGACTAAAGAGCTAAGTTTGTAACTGGCTGGACCAGGCTTCAAACTTGGGTCTGCCCGGGTTTCTTTCCATTCCACCATTACGCCTCCTCAGAAGGTAGCACTGGCCCAACCCAAGATATTGATCCCGAGAGAGCATCTGGGCAGCAGCCATGGGCATGGGATTGGCTCCAGGAGATGAGGTGGGCGTGGAGCGTGGCACTGGGTGAAGGCCTTGGCTCGGATTGTTTCCTTGCATGGACAGGAGAGGTGAATGCCTCATTTAAACACAGAATCATGCTTGTAGGAACGGGATGCCCTCCATCTTGTTCTTGTCCTGATTTCTGGGGATAGGTCCATCGGGAAACGACTAGCCTTGGGGAAAACGACAGTGTTTGGGATCCACACAAAAGCAGAGGCCTTTCCGTGGCTTCCCTGCCTTACCGATGCCGGCCGTCAGATCTCCTTTACCTCTGTGCCCCTCGTAGACCTCAGCACGCAGGCTGTATGCTATTACTGTCTACCCTCAGCTTCAGCATGTCCTTGATCCCAGGAGGCACACTTCTTCATACTGTAATACCTGTGCAAATTGGCACATCTTGTGAATGAGGTCTACATTTGACGTGACGGGGCTGTTTAAATTGATGTTGCATTTTTAGAATCGATGGAGACCAAGACTGAGTAAATACGATAATTCATGCACTTGTTCAACTCATCAAATGCCTACACTAAGTGCCAGGCATTATGCTAGATGCTTAGAATATAGAAATAACCTCTTGTAGTCCCTTGCCTTTGGGAGGTCACAGTAAAGGGAGGAAATAGACTAGATAGAGCAACAGTTATAGTTCTTGTGATAAGGGCTCAGAATTTGGGAAACCAAGGTGTGTGGAAGATCAGAGAAAGGAGGGAGGAGAGGTGGGTAGGGGGCTGGGACCACTTTGCAGAGAATGTGTGTCACGAAGGAGGTGGGAATCCGAAGGGGTTAGAAGTGGGCTGGGCGTGGGTTATGGAATGGTATTCTGGAAAGATTGAATTATTGGAGCAAAGTTCAAAATCATGAGAAACTTGGACGTGCTTGCAAGCTTAATGGGTTTGTTGTGGCTGGAATGGAGTGTGTGTGGAGACATGGGTATAAAATGAGGCTGTGGGAATAGGAAGGAGGCAGATCATGGAGGACCTTGAGTGCCACCCAAATTTGCTTTGAGGTCCTGCACGGTCATGAGCTTAATCTCCATCCTGAGTCTAGCAAATCGTGTGGGGGTTTTACGCAGGGGAGTGATGCCCTGATCTGTGTTTAGGAAGTTGTGCAGGAAGCAGACAGGAAGAGGATGGCAGGTAAGATGAGGTGGATAGAGTGGCAGCTATCAGCAGAGAAAGAAGAGTTACCCCGAATGAAGCAAAGCCTCATTTTCATTTACTATTTCCAGGCAGGGTGGAGGCTTGAGCCCTGGTGCAGAGGGGCAGCTAGAACCTGCAGGCACAAGTGACCTGTTCTTGCCTAACCCCGTCATGTGTGCCCTTGTCTCCGGAGAGCCACCTGACCAGCAGGCAGCTGACTATAAGAAGGGATGCTAGGAAAAGCTGGAAAGACAAGAAAAGCTTAGTACCGCCTCTGCTTGTTAAACAAGGGTCACATCAACCTTCAATGGGGACATCTAACCTGTATTTGCCAAATTAGTTCACCAATCAGACTTTTTTACAGTTGGATGGGAGTGTATGCCAGTGCTTGGAGGAAAAATATGTGGGCATTGGTGAGAACCATCACAGGAAACACATATTGGATTTAAGACAGTGTTAGAAGTCATAAGAAAGAAGTAGATAAGTTTTCGTGGCTGTACATGGGAGTCATGCAGAAAACATAATGTTGTTGGCTGACGAGCCCACTCTGGGGACAGATGCTGGGGTAAGAGGTGGAGGAGCTCACCCACCATACTGGGGATGCTTTCGAAGGGGTGAGAGATAGCTGTGGATATTGTGCCCCAAGACTTACAGTTCTTCCCCTTTGACTTTTTCGTACAGGTGCAGTGCCACACTTACACGGGGTACTGCTGGTGTGTCACCCCAGATGGGAAGCCCATCAGTGGTTCTTCTGTGCAGAATAAAACTCCTGTATGTTCAGGTACCGTAGGGAGGGGCGGGAGGAAAGAAAAGGGTTGGAGAGAGACCTCTTGGCTGTCCCCTGAATTCTGTAGGGGAATATTTGAAAGATTGGTGGTGGTTATCAGCCATCCCCAGGTGAGGGAGGGTCCCACTCGAACATGCACTTGCTCTTAGTCAGCCGGGTGACAGAGTCAGTATATACCTGTATGCATATATTTATTATTGCCAGTGTAGGTTTCTGGTTCAAGGCTCTTTCCCCCAAATATTGGCTGTAACCCCTAGAGCACGGCATATACATTTTTAGCTCAAATGCTCTGGCTGCTGGTGGCCCTGGGAGCACTTGATTGAGGTGGATTTCAAGGCTGCATGGGAATGCAACAATAAAGACCATGGTGATCCATTAGTGATAGTTGCCATGAGCACAAGAGAGGAGAGTGGTGGCCTAATCACCATAGGTGTGCCACCCCTGACAAGGTAATGTAGAGCGATGGAGAACTCTCATCACAGTGGCCCTCACACCTGGCTGCCCTTGGCGGTGCCTGGGGGACGAAAAAGAACCCAGGTGTTGAGGCCCCTCCTGTATATTCTCACCCAGCAGGTCTGCAGTGAGACCTGGAGTCCACATGTGTATGAAGCTTCTCAGATGGTTCTGATGAGTAGACCAGTTAGGGCACCACGGCTTTATAGTGACCCTCTAGCTCAGCCCATGGCAAAAATTAAGTCCTTTCTATTTCCAACTTGATAAGCATAGGGACATTTTGCTCTTAGGTTAGCTTCAGGGGACTGTGGACTATGGGTTTACACAAGCCCCACACTTTTGCCTTCCATTAAGATGAGAGTTTCTCCCTTAATTCACATGCCGCTCAGCCTTCATTAAAAAATACAAAACCCTATCCCACCATCTGCTGCTTCATATTTCTCAATAGCTATGTGTATGAGGTTTTATGTATTTACTTATCTTAATTTTGAAGTGCAAGCAAAGGATGAAACATTATTCTAAAGCCTATGGGAGATCCCAAAGGCTAGCAGTTCTGCTATCCTAACGTTTTCCTTTTTTTCCACAAAGTTTATTCATTTTTCTTCTGGCCCTGCTATATAAAGGGAGAAGCAAGTGGGAAGGGCAGTGAGTATCTACATTAGGAAACCAAGACTTGTAGGCCAAAAAGGGAAGTTTATTTTTGGTTTACATGGAAACTGGAAACCTTAATTGGGCTGGTTGTGGGAAGGGGCAGGAATGAGCCCTCCTTGCAGATGACCTGGAAAGTTCCATTGAAAGCAAACAAATGCACTAGAAGCAAGTCATGCAGGGTAAGATAATTGAATTCTCACAAAATCAGTGCCTGGAAAAAGGGTATGATATAGACTGTGGAAATATGGGTTCTTTCTTTTCTTTTGGTGTGGGACGTCCACAGATGCCTTTCTGTGGATGAGCTGGCTGTGCCCTGCCTGTGTGGTGGGTTTTGTGGAAAAGACAGGTGCCACATGATCAGGACCAAAGGATGGGTGCATATGGCATCCTAGCATCTGCAGGGCGAAGTGTTTGGCCAAACTCACACATTCCCCTCTCCTTAAGGAGCAGCCTGCTGCATCTAGAAAATTGTTTCCATGCCTCAGACTATTTTGGCCCATTCAGGACAATTGGGCCAACAATTTTCTACTTAATGCAGATGGAAAATCGCCGATTTCCTGCCCTAACCAGCAAGGGATGTCAATCATTGCATTTGCAGTAAGAGAGGGTTTCTTTTTGGTTGGTCCTACTGAATAGCTATGGCTCAGAACATGGAGCCGGTGGGGGAGATGGGGAGTGGAGGCGAGGGGCAGTCATTGGAATGTTCAATAAGGGAGAAGTCTGGTTACAACTATTGCCAGGGAACCTGGAAATCATGGTTCATCTCAACAGTGCTGTGATACCAGTGACATTGACATTAAACAAACCCCACTCAGCATGTATGTATGTACTAACTGTGTATATAATGTCCCTAGATGTGTATACGATATATATACACATAACCATATGCTCATAACATCAGGCTGTGCCAACACTATGAAAGGAACCAACCGCGATGCATTCTGAATGCCTGTGTTTCTGTTTCTCCTCTCACCCAAGGTTCAGTCACCGACAAGCCCTTGAGCCAGGGTAACTCAGGAAGGAAAGGTGAGTAGAGTTTTATGCTTTATCTAAATGTTTGCTCCTAAAGCCAGTCCAAGCAAGAATTCTTGGACAAGATGGATGGAGCTGGGGTGAGAGGTAAAGGTGCCCTGCAGAAAATATCCATTCTTATTCTGTGTTTCCTCCCAGAAGCACCGAGGTGAGTATGGCTCATCGGTGGTGGGGACCAAGCTCCCAGGATTTCTGGGGGAGGTGAGCGAGTGCAGGCCACAGAGCTGGCAGCGACCCTGAGAATCTTGGTTCCTAGGAAGTTCAGTCGATCAGTGTCGCCAGCATTAAACAAGAAGGATAATGAAAGTACTAGTAGGTGTGCTCAAGTCTGCACCGACTCTCTTATTTTCGAAACCCATCTGCGCATTATCTCCCTCACTGCTTCTCAAGAACTATCCCAGCTCCTCCAGGTTCTCTTCACTAAGACTAGGCTGGCTTCATGGGCTTGCCCCCCGTGCATTGGTTGTCATAAAATTCTCAACTCTTTTGTCTTTGAACTTGTGCTTTTAAGTGCGGAAAGTCGACGGGACAATGACATGTGCGTGTGAGCAGCAGTACATGCAGTTACATGTCTGCTGTTGATCCTTGGTCCCATGTGCACATAGCTTTTGTGATGCATGCTTTTATAGTACGCTCAAAAATTTAATTTTTCTTTACCTACAGCAACATCAAATAGCAAATTAAAAACACCATGGCAAGCCGAGAGAGACTATGGGAGAGAGGACACAACTTTACTTTTAGTCTCTTTAATGACACTTTCCCCTGCTTTTTGAACAGAAGGCCTGTCGTTTGCACTGTGTACTGGGCCCTACAAATTATATATACTTCGATTAAGGCATTTGTCTGAGTGCTCTTTAGGGGTCCAGCTGCCATGAGGAGCAGGTCCCCGGGGTATGCGGACCATAATTTCCGGTGTGGCAGACACTAAGATCACCGCTGCTCACTTCCAGAATGACATACAAGCACACGGAGAGCTGTGGTTGCATAGAAAATAACTCTCAATTTCATTGCATGAGTGAGAAATCCAGAATCCCCATTTTCAGGTAAAACCCAGACAAGGGACCTTGGCTGAGTTTGAGGCTTCCCACCTGAATCTGGGCCTTGGGAACTTCATGCTCATAAGACCCACGTGCTAGTTGGCACACGCTGTCACAGGGAGACCAAGGTGAGTCCCTAGACCCTGCTCCAGGCCAGGTCACCCTTCCTGAACGTAGGAGATGAGTGTCCAGAGAACCTGCTGCCTAGTTGTGGGTGCTTCAAGAAGATGTGGAAGTAGGGCATGGTGACACCACCACCCACTGCAAAACATGGACCAAAGGTCTATGTGGGGCTCCTGCAGGAATGAGTAAGTGGGTGAAAAAAAGAGAGCAAGTGCCTTCCTAGGTCTTCCTGGGAACAGCGGAGACAGCTGTGAGTGTGCGTGGTTCCTTCCCATGGGAGAGAAACATGGCCGTTTCTTTCTGCAAAGAGCTGGAATCATCCATTCTGTGAATGGCATGTATCTACGAAGTATTGGGGCTGGAAAAGAAAGCTGCCTTCAGTGTTGCTTGTTGCAACAGGAGTCTTCAGAACATGCGCTTTATTTCTGGGTATGAGGTCCTGGTAGTAGGAAAAAAAAGGCAGTCCACTCAGAACTGACCACCCACGAGAGGATACAGAGTTCATGATGCTGAGTAAAGCACCCACACCAAGAAAGGCCCATGGGGTTTGGGTTCTTAAACTGCACAGAGAAGTGCTTTCCAGATTGACGTGACTTCGCACCCCATGGATAACGTAAGAATCAGATACATGGTCATGGTGGGATCTCACGGATTTGTCAGGAAGAGGGCAGGGGAACCTGATTCCTTCAGGGGTGGTGCAGGGAACAGGGGCATAGAGTCTGAAGCTTCATCTCAGAGCTAAGCTGTCATCAATTTTTAGTTCTTTGCTGTCCTACACCAGATGAGTTCCTCCCTCCGTGATGGTTCTGCAGAGGCCCCCTGTTTAGTGAAAAGGCCTGGAGGGTGCGGGGGGTGGCGTGGTGGGGAGGGAGGAATGCTAGGGCTTATTTATCCTGGAGAATTGACGTGTCAGTGGGCTCTCTTCCTTCTACTTGGGAGGATCGGTGTAGGTGCGGATCCTGTTCTCTCTCTGCCATGGGCAGTGCAGTGAAAGGCAGTTTGGGGCCACCTGTAGGAAGGGCCACCTGAAGCCACACCTGCCCAGGAAGCTGAGGTTTGAATGGGGACAGGGTGCGAGAGGGCATTCGTAATATCCTGTGTTGGCCCACTGAGGTCCCTCTTTCAGCTGCCACTTAAGAATGGAATGTGCTCCGAGGGCAGCAGGTGGGAAGACACAAAGGCCCCTTGTCTGAGCTCGTGCCCACATGTGGGGTCTCCTAGCAGGCATCTCCAGAGAGCCGGAGCTCGCAGCCCTGAGGCCTGCCACAGGCAGATGCTGAGCCTGGCCCTCCTGCAGGGCAAGGGTCCGGGTGGGAAGGAGGTGAGGCTAGAGGGCTGGGTGTGTGAGCGGTGGGGGGCTGCGGGGGAGGAGCAGACCCGGCCTATTCTTTCCCCACCCTCTTGAACATGCTCCACTGACAGGGCTGGAGGGATCGGTTCTCTCTGCCTGGAAGGAATGAAAAGACGTATTGTGCAGCCACGGAGAGTCTGGTTGCCAGCCAGGAATGAGTCCTCCAAAGCAGAGGAGAAAGGCAGAGCGAGAGGAGGCTGGGGGAGGAGGCCCAGAGAGATAGCAGGAGCAAAGGAGGAGGGAGAGAGGCCAGGCAGTAGCAGGTCACAGCCGGTTGGCCTGGACTGGGAGGCCTGGGTTGCTGAGGCTCCTGGGTCCACAGGTGTGGAGCCCGAGGGGAGAAGGGGAGGGGGGGAAGTGCTGTTATCTTACCCAGATGCATGTGCTCCTGGAAGGGAGAGGGTCAGAACTTCAGACTATTTATTTAATCCCTTGGAATGTCCTTGCCTGGCTCTGATCTCTGGGCCCCTTGTGTTTCACCGACTCCTTTACAGGCACATGTGTGGTAATTAACACGTGCAGTGTAGGTCCCGGCCATGTGTTTGAGTTTCAAATATCCATTGATCTGGGGCACTCCCATCCCGGCCACCCCTCCCCTTCTTCTCCTTTGGTTCTTGCCCTTGAAGAGTGACAGAAGGGGGGGGGTGTCTGTGTGTATTGGAGGGTGGGGGACACACGTGCATCCACATGTATTTTATTGAGGCTACAGAGGAATGTCAGAACAGGGGAAAGAGCCCCCAACAGCCCTTAACCCCTGATGATCTGTTGCTAAAACAGCCCAAGGCTGCAGAAGTTGTGGTAGGGATGAATTTTTGGTTTCAACTCAAGAATGGCTGGGAAGCAAATGTGTTTAGAGATCATGAATTTACCGAGTGGCTTTTCCTGGCCGACCAAGGCTTGTGGGGTTTCCTATGGTGCCTCTTTTTGGGGTGTTGGTGATAATGTGGATGATTTGGGGAGCCCTCGGGATGACTGAATACAGCCAGGGACTGGTCCCGGAGTCATTGCTTGTGAGGTGGCAGCAGGACTGCACCGCCTCCAGCGGGTGCGGTGGAGGAAGGGCGTGGCGAGGAGTGACTGCATGACATAGAGGCGAGCCCTTGTACACTGAGTGCTGGCAGATCTCCAGGAGGTTTTTCCTTCTGGACCTGGGACCTAGAGAGCCCAGGGTGATGCTTCTGTACATGGCAAAGGGAAAGTCTAGGGCCGGGGTCGGCAAACCACGGTTCGCAAGTCACATGCGGCTCTTTGGCCCCTTCAGGAGCCGCATGTGGCTTGCGAGCCGTGGTTTGCCGTCCACTGGTCGAGGGTCATCAGGGGTTTTCTGCAGTTTGCCTTTTTCTCCTTGTACCAGGTCTGGGAGTTCACTGTTTAAAGAAAGTGAGGACAAAAATAAAAACACGAGTAGCCTCTGTGTACATTTCTCCATGGGCTTCTGTATTTATCAAGCCAGTCTTCAAGAGGCACTGAACTTCCAAAACCCAACCCACCTTTAATTTGCAGAGATTTTTTTTTAATCTTCACTGGCTGCTGTGTAGTATGTGCTCCAGGTAAAGAGTAGGTCACACTCTTTTATCCAGGTAAAGATAGAGACAAAGGTCCCTCTCTTTTGTCTCTATCTTTAGAATTTCTCATGGAGCCTGGGTCTACCGATTGGTACCAGTTGGGAGATCTTGTCACTCAAGTGAAGGATGAAGCATCCTCCTGATTTGGGGTTGAAGGATTTGCTTAGGGCAGGGGTGACGGATAGCAGGCATCCTAGAGGAAGGGGGTAGTTAGCACACCTGAAGGAGGTTCGCCTCATTACCCTGAGCCTGGCTGGGATGTGCAGGCTCTTGTCTTGGAACATTCTACATGTGGGGCGTCACTCCTGCTGTACCCTCTTCCCAGCTATCTCTCTGATTCCTCTTCCCCCAGCACCGAGGGAGAAGGTGGATCAGTAGTTGATGTGTCAGCATGGCCATCAGATGGCAAAAGTGTGATGACCTACCAGCCTGCGCTGGATTTGGATGGAGGTGGGCAGCAGATGACCTGTACGGGTTGGCTTCTGTGCACATTGAATTTCCCTGTGGGATGAGAAGCATTCTCATTCCCATGCTGTGCTTGCTGACAAGAACTGTGCCTGAGCAGCTCCAAGCCCAGGAGAGGCAGCTCTTTGCTCTCTGCATGCATGTTGCTGCTGCTTTCTGGTGCTCTGAGCCACCCTCACCAGGCCTGGCATATCCGTGCACCAGCTTTGCAGAGATTCGTTGCAGAAGGGGTGTGCATGAGTGTCATGTGTGCACCACATCTCCTTCCTCCCACAGTTAGTACTCTCCCAGCTTAGCCCATCTACTGAACCCCCTGCCCTGCATCTTAACCCCTATTCTGGGGTCTCCAAAAGAAAGTTTGTGCATGGAAGATACTAAATTTAGAGTTGAATCCCTGCCATATCCCCATTTCCAAGGGCTGGAGATGAAATGGGGTGTATGGATCTGGAATAG